TGCACTTTCTCAAAAGGCATAGATGCAATTATCGTTTTCTTTGTTTATGCCTTCTCCAGGATGGGGGCTTTTTGCAAAAGTTTTTTGGGGTCATGATTAGTCAAAGGTCAAGGTTAGCGTTCAACATTTTGTAAAACATGATTGTATCAGTGTCAGTTTCTGTGTCAGAATTCTAGCACTTCAAACGTTTATTGCATTATGTCACAGGCCAAGGTCACATTTGGATGAAACTTTGAACACTAGTCTAGTTGTAATTGCTCCCGAAAGTGGTACAAAGATTTTTGACTTTAAAGGCTATCCTACATTGGCCTTATTCCACATGGACCTTGGGAATTCTTTTGCCACATGTACTTTTAAGGTCAAAGGTCAAGGTCATGAACTGAAAAAATTCTCTCAAATAGTATTATTGTACGTATAATTAAACTTGGTTAGACCTTCTCTAGGATACATGAGGAAGAAAACGCCCATTATAGTGGAGATAACCAGCGATTCTACATGTATAATCTGTTTCTGGAAACAAGCAAAAAATGTTGCACAAAGGCACATGTTGATCATGCTGATCATCTTTGGATATAGAACCACCTTTAGCTATCATATTTACGTGTGTGCGCACATTGCATAAATATTTTAATGCTTCAACAATGGATATTTGGCGATGTAAATCTTAGTGATTGAGATTGGTTGGTTGGTTGTTGTTGCAATATTCCAGCTATATGACGGCGGTCTGTAAATAATCGAGGCTGGACCAGACAATCCAGTGATAGACATCATGATCATCGATCCACGCAGTTGGGATACGATGACATGCATCAACCAAGTCAGCGAGCCTGACCACCCGATCCCGTTAGTCGCCTCTTACGAAAAGCATAGTCACCTTTTACGGCAAGCATGGGTTGCTGAAGACCTATTCTACCCCGGATCTTCACGGGTCACAAACATAACTGGTCACACATTGAAGTCGGCTCCTTGATACAACGTCAATTGTCAAACATGGTTAACAGTCTGCTTCACGTGAAGCGGGAACCGTTGTTTTCATTGGCAATCCAAATTACTGACGTACAGTATTTCGTGGCGCGCCGATGTCCGAGCAACACTTCCATTGTTATCCTCATCCAGAAATATGAGTCAGTGTCGGTTTGATGTTGTTTCCATCTATTACAAGTGTAATGCCTATCTAACAATTCAAGTGTATGTCTCGTTTGAGAATTTAGGTCGCATCAGCAATTGTTTTCAGCAACGTAGAGGCGATACAATTATGATACTATATCAACATACAAACAATACTTTCAACGAAAACGGTTTGTGGCATATCACTAACACCAGTAGTTCAAGTCGTGGCAAGTACTCTGCTTGGGTGGAGCGTCCTGTTTCTACTTCTAACGAACAGCTTGGTTGTTTTGCTTTTAACGTACAGCTTGGTTGTTTTGCTTTTAACGTACGGCTTGGTTGTTTTGCTTTTAACGTACAGCTTGGTTGGTTTGCTTTTAACGTACAGCTTGGTTGTTTTGAGGCTTTGCACTCATTAAAAATAATAACTCTGCCAATGAATACAAGTATGATATATACATGTATATTGGTATATGGGTATTTCATAAGTATGCAATTAGTTGACATTTAAGAGCCTGGTCGGATTTATTTCCTTCCTTGGGTACAATGTGTGAAGCCCATTTCTGGTGTCCCCGGTCGTGATATTGCTGGAATATTGCTAAAAGCGGCGTAAGACCATACTCACTCACTCACCTTTTCCTTACTTCTGAATTCCTCATTAATACTATGCTTGTACTTGTACGATGCGCATTCATTGTGTGTCAGGAATGAATAGTGTTACACGTGCATAATAATTATAATGTAATACCTTGGTAGATTTATGTTCGAACGTTATTAGCATGAAACTGACTATGCCGCTCCACTATTGAGTAGATCCGACCCTGGTGTCACACCACACATTATACCCGGGACACCTCAGTGTGCCCACAGTTATTGGTCAGCCAACACCCCACGGAGGAGCAGTATTTCACTAATGCTGGCATGCTAGTAAATGAACGTGTCATCCGGGCTCCATATGACAAACGTCAGTGACGTAATGATGTAATTAGCATCACATATCGAGAAGATACACGTTCCTGTACACATTACTACAGAACATTGACGTCCCTGTGTTTATCCCGTATAACGCTAACATCTACTTGGTTTGGTTTGTTTATTTGTTGTCTAACGCCGCACTCAGCAATATTCCAGCTATATGACGGTGGTCTGTAAATAATCGAGTCTGGACCAGACAATCCAGTGATTAACATCATGAGCATCGATCCACGCAATTGGGATCGATGACATGCATCAACCTAGTCAGCGAGCCTGACCACCCGATCCCGTAAGTTGCCTCTTACAAGCAGAGTCGCCTTTTACGGCAAGCATAGGTTGCTGAAGACCTATTCTACCCCGGCTCTTCACGGGTCTGTCAGTGGAGTAATCTATAGTGAAACCTGTGACCCACCGCTCCCGTTAGTCGCCTTTTACGGCAAGCATGGTCGCCTTTTACGACAAGCGTGGGTTGCTGAAGACCTATTCTACCCCGGATCTTCACGGTTAACATCTACTTGGTTTGGTTTGTTTATTTGTTGTCTAACGCCGCACTCAGCAATATTCCAGCTATATGACGTCGGTCTGTAAATAATCGAGTCTGGACCAGACAATCCAGTGATTTACATCATGAGCATCGATCCACGCAATTGGGATCGATGACATGCATCAACCAGGTCAGCGAGCCTGACCACCCGATCCCGTTAGTTGCCTCTTACAAGCAGAGTCGCCTTTTACGGCAAGCATAGGTTGCTGAAGACCTATTCTACCCCGGCTCTTCACGGGTCTGTCAGTGGAGTAATCTATAGTGAAACCTGTGACCCACCGCTACCGTTAGTCGCCTTTTACGGCAAGCATGGTCGCCTTTTACGACAAGCGTGGGTTGCTGAAGACCTATTCTACCCCGGATCTTCACGGTTAACATCTACTTGGTTTGGTTTGTTTATTTGTTGTCTAACGCCGCACTCAGCAATATTCCAGCTATATGACGTCGGTCTGTAAATAATCGAGTCTGGACCAGACAATCCAGTGATTTACATCATGAGCATCGATCCACGCAATTGGGATCGATGACATGCATCACCCAGGTCAGCGAGCCTGACCACCCGATCCCGTTAGTCGCCTCTTACGACAAGCATAATGGCGTGGTTTGCTGAAGACCTATTCTTCCCCGGATCTTCACGGTTAACATCTACTTGGGATATTTGTGCACAGTCGTTCACATAATAATGCTTATGCCATGCCATAAAATACCACTGCCCAAGACGAAATGCTACACTTCAAGTTTCACCTTATGGAGATGTGGGGGTGATTTTAGAAGTGCTTCTTCTTGTCATACAGGAACTTTTGACATGAAGACCGAATTGATGTCATGTAAAACGAGTCAAGATGACCAAGTCTGCTTCGTCTGTAAAAGTACACAGATATTTAAGACGAAATAGGGTTAGTGTTATGAGTGAAACGATTAACCCAACATTCGTTTGAACCCTTTCGGTTACATGTTAAAACGATTGTGTATCATGACCTTAGTGTTGACATCATCGTTATGCTTATATCGTAATTACACACGAGTCGCTTGTCATTTGTTGTTCATGAAATGGGGCGTATTTCATTGGGAGATTCTGGACATCACATCTGAACAATCCGATTATTTGTAGCACTAAAGGAAATTAGAAGTCTGTTTCGTTTGTTGCACGGCAGACTTACTAGGTCCCGTAGACGAAAATATGTCTGTAGACGGGGAAACACGTGATAATTGTTTTCATCATAAATATTTTTTTTCCGTTTTCCTCTTTGAAAACATTTTGTTAACCAAAGCGTGCTTCCACTGCAACATACTATATTGTGTCGATCAAAACGTTTCATGTAGGGTATTTCACCATTATCAGTAGGATATGTGTATACATGTATATAAATATAATTCTGAATCCATGCAGTTATCAATGTCTTGTAAGAAAGTTGCAAGTATTTATTTTTATGACCACCAGCATATTTCCAAAACATTGTGTCATGAAAGAAGATCGGTTCGGGGCGGCAGCGTTATGGTATGGGGTGGCAAGACAGAGGACCCGTTTGACAGTGGTAGAGGGAAATGTCAATGGACAGCGCTACCGCGACGAGATCATCGGTCCTGTTGTTCTACCGTTTTTGCGTCGTCATGGCCCAGGCATTATCTTTCAACATGACAACGCCCGGCCTCATATTGCTCGACCTATTCAGGATTATCTTCAACAAAACGACGTGAATGTCATCCCCTGGCCGGCTCGCTCCACTGATCTCTCACCAATCGAGCCCATGTGGGATGAGATGGATCGGTGCCTACGCCGTCAACCACGTGTTCCACGGACACTCCAGGAACTTCGAAACATGCTCCAGCAGATATGGACAGATATCCCACAAGACTTTGTGCGACGCCTGGTCCATTCCATGAGACGAAGATTTGTTGCTTGCATCGCAACCAGAGGTGGACACACACGCTATTGATTTGTAAATTGACATTTTGGCATGTTCATGTTTTTTTTTTAATGAAATCACGCATTTTCTGAAGTCAGTATGGCAAATTAAACCATTTGAACACTTACAGTAGTCTTTTATCTGTTGCAAACCGAAATTGTTTCAGATTGAGATTTGTTTCAACTTTTGTTGTTCACTTGAACATATTCCATCCAGTAAGGGTTGCATTTCAAAATCAATTATCCTACACATGCATATAAACATACCATATACATAGTTTTTACAACACGATCCATTTACATAATAAAACAGTTGGATATAATATGAAATTATCTAATCTGTTACCAGTTCTGCAAGTTTATTGGCTATATTTTTCAATTGCCTAATTGTTTATGAATATAGTCATCTGTTCACGAATTGCTCACCACGAGATTTCTCAACTTTAACGATTTGTGTTGAGTCGTGTAGAGAGCTCAGTCGTTCAGTTCCAGGGTCCAAGTGTCAAATCAAGCCAACGAAAGTGTTTGAAGGTATGTTCGAGTAATACTGTCATGATGTATTCATGCTAATCCTGGGAGAGCAATGTAGTGTCATTAGTGCATAATCTACCTTCACAGTCTGCTCAAATTACCGGTATATATAAAGTCATCCACATGACCTGTTGATACTCCTTGGATTTCACCATCACAGAACCAGTAAGAGATTGCTTTGTCAATCCGTGATATTTTGGAACCACAACATTTCATATCTTCCCATACCTTGTACCAACCAGGAGTGAGTGAGTGAGTATGGTTTTACTCCGCTTTTAGCAATATTCCAGCAATATCACGACGGGGGACACCAGAAATGGGCTTCACACATTGTACCAAAGTCGGGAATCGAACCCGGGTCTTCGGCGTGACGAGCGAACGCTTTCACCACTAGGCTACCCGACCGCCCCTGTACCAACCAGGAGAGAGATGCATCAGGGAAACTGTAGACACAGTTACGAAGTCTAAGTTTCCACAAGACACCATTTCTTTCAGCTTTATTTTTGTGGGCATACAATGAAATCACTTGTCGACTGTGAATCTCGTAAACAGGTGTGCATGTCCACAAAATGTTTGTAAATAATCGACTTCAATGACTGACATCATGAGCATCGATCTTCGCAATTTTGATACGATGACATGCATCAACCATTTCCGACAAGCGTCAGTTGCTGAAGACCTATTCTAACCCGGAATCTTCTTTCTGAACTATTACAGCCAGTATAATGATTGCAATGAACATGTGGGTACATCTTTTTGCATGTTTCTCATTTCCAACTCAGCTAAACCTCTATCCACCAGTCGCGCCTCAGGTACATTTACTTGTCGGTTTTCTGTCAGTGTTGTATTGTATCAAAATCAGCTTCCACACAAACTAATAATAGTGTAGCGCTATGAGCATCCACTATTATGAGCATTGCACTTATTATTATTATTATTATTAAACTTTTATTCCCTATTTCAGAGGTTTAGGTACATTCAAAGGGAATACTTCAATGGCCAAGACATTGTCTTCTATGTTTTCACTCATCATGTCCATTTCTTGTTGGGATTGTTTTTTCAAACGTTAATCTTTCTACCCTACCCATGTCAATAGAATCTTTGGTTCCTGCTCTTGTTGTAGTTTGCAGGTACTGAACGATGTACCGGTCTTTCTATATCCCTGTTGCGCTGCCTCATAAGTAAATTCCCTACATACATGTTTTCATTCTCATCTGCACATTTTATAACTTAATCCTGTCCTTCATCACTTTCTGTGATTTCACCATCAGTATCAGCTCTTTCTTCAAGTTCGTCAGCGACACAGGATCCTTGAAAGTTTCAGAGTTGTCTTCTTGAACATTTTGAATCTCTTGCCCCATGTAACAAATGTTATATATGGGATAACATTTTCTTAGTAAAGTACAGATTCTCGTACTTTTGGGGGGTTGAGTCCCGTCCGGGATTCGAACCCACATCGCTAGATTGAGGCACCAAATCCCGGACGGGACTCAATCCAAAAAAAGTACGAGAATCTGTAATTTACAAAGAAAGTGTTACCCCAAATATAACATTTGTTACATTTGACCACTTTCTAAATGGCATTGTGTGTTCAAACTCTTGCCCCATGTTGTCCTTTTTTCTGAAAATGTTCTGGCAAGGTCTTCTGCATTCTATTGCAGTGAACATATATGTGTGACTAACAACGATCACCTCTCTGTCATGACTTAGTGAAACACCCAGTCCTTTCCTTTCTGTCTGATCTGGGCTCATGTACGACTTTGTTTCATATTTGTCTCACCGCGATTCTGTACCTTGTACGAAGGACACATCCTAGTCTTAATACAAAAACATCAATCTCTGTTAATGTTTCTTTGGTACAGTATTGCAGTATTGCAGTGGCTGCACGCTTTTTATACTCCATGCATTATATGGTATCCATGCATTATATGGTATGATGTGGTCGGAATCGGACAACGGTCACGGCTGAGGTTCATTTGTGGTTGTGGAAAGGGTTTCCATTTTATCTCGGGTGTATAATTAATGCTTATTCATCACCCCTGTGACAAGCATGTTCAGTTCAAATTACGTACAAGATTTTCGACCAAGCTATGACCTTCAAATACGCGCAATGTCGCTATGACACGCCAGACCATTCTAATCTTCAATCGAAATTTGGAATTGTTGCTGACCAGTTAAATTACCCATTGTGTTCATAGATACAATATGTATTGCCGCCTTATGATAACAAGCCACACCTAGAAAATGATGACTCCCTTGATGTTGTTTTGTGGCAACTGACATTGAACTATTTCATTCAAAGCAGACTTGAATGAAGCATTTTCAATAAACATGGCAGAGGAGGACAGAGAGGAAGCATATCGTATTGTTCAATATTTGATGGGGGACGATGATACAAGCAGAGAGGACATCATTGATAGGTTTTCTCAACACAGTCATCACTATGACAAGGTCGGTCCCAGAAGACACCACTTCATGCTTCAATTTATCCACTGTGATGTTGAATTTTTAAAGTTATCAACATTTATATGAATGTTTGGATTTGAATCAGGCAAAATGTTTATGAAAAAGCTCAACCAAATGTTACTGATAAAGCATTTTTTTGCAAAAGAAATAGCGAATATTCGAGAGAAATTGCTTCAAGCGTTCTCTTAAAAGGCCACACTACACGGCACATGTTGCTGGAGTTGTGCAGCTGCATCAATTCTGAACGATGTTAATGTGTTACCTTAACCTGCAAGATACCCTGATCTGTCACCAATTAAACATGGCTGGCATAAATGGGAACGATATTTGCGACGTCTTCTGTATCTCTCAACAACGTAGCATCCTCAGATATGCTCAGTGGCCTCAATGAGGGGAAGGTGTCAGACGTGCATCAACGCACAAGATTGACACGGTAATGACTGTGTGAACTTGCCTCTGAAACCCAGTACCTTACATCGTAAGAGGCGACTTAATAGTAACCTGTTTTATTCCGTGAACTCTTACAGAACTAGACGCTGCCCCTCCTTTGGCTTAACTAGCCAAGAAGTGTATTGTTTTGACCAGGAGTATTATGAGATTTATTTAGTATTAAAATGCTTCCATTTACATGTGATTCCAGTATGAGTGTGCCTGTTTAAAAATCAGGAAGCAATCGGTATTCAAATATGCATTAATAACTTACACATTCATTCATGTAAGATATACGCTCGTATGTGTTATCATGTGTGTGTACGCGTATTGCATACACAAATATGTATTTCTTAAGGTTTTAGAAGAGGCTAACTTCAGAAGTCCTTCATTAACTGCTTTGAAAACTGCGGAGTTGTTTCCTAGCGACAGAAAGAACATTTATATTCTGGATGTGGCTGCCGGAACTGGTCTTTGTGCAGATAAGGTTTGCAGACAGTTTCGAAACATATACTTCCTCAGTTCCCAAACTTTGCATCCACTATCAGCGTATATGTGTGGAAAAGGCAAGGAATGAACTGGTGTAATCCCACGTATATAGCGCCACAAGATGTCAACGGCTGTATGCTTAATTTACAACGTTTATAGGCTATATATCACGGCATTTCATCAGGTTAACGACTCGCCTGCTTCACTCACTCGAATCTTTCATTGAAATTTTGTGTATGAAGAATAGAAAGGATGAAATGCGTATATACTCGTCAAGAAGTAAACGCTTTAACAGGGGTTTGGTGTGGGAAGTAAAATGTGAAGCGTGAAAACAGAAAATCAGTGGACATATGTCCTAAATGAGGACATTAAACGTGAAGGTCCTTAGACTTCAATGAGGTGCCTGGCACCTCTGGTTCCTGTCCATGGCCGAAATGATAGTACGGATCGCACCTTGGGGAATGTTAGGACATGTACAAGCTATTGCAGTGTCCGTGGGTCAGGATGACGCTGTTGCATGTAGCGTTTTATTGATTTCAACTTCCATAGCAATAAACAAATTCAATCCAGCTGAATTAATTAGTTCTGATTGGTAATTAGCAGTGGAGAAATGGAACCACTGATTAGTAATTAGCAATGGAGAAATGGAACCACCGATTGGTAATTAGCAATGGACAAACTCAATTCAACTGAATTAATTAGCTATGGTTGGTAATTAGAAATGGACAAATTCAATCCAACTGAATTAATTAGATCTGATTTGTAATTAGCAATGGAGAAATGGAACCACTGATTGCTAATTAGCAATGGAAATGGAACCACTGATTGGTAATTAGCAATGGACAAATCAATTCGATCTTGAGGCTGTCGGAGGACCTGCCCATTGCCTTTACACGTACTGTATGTGGTCTGTCATTCTCATGTTGAAGGATAATGTATATGTAATAGCGTTGAGCGTGTATCTCTGAAAGGCCAAATGGCTATCACAGTATGATTGTACTTCTCATTGTAGCATCATGCGGATTATATATTTTGATGAACCAGTTACATCTCTACTAGTGTCTTCCCTGTGTCTCTGCTCCATACCATAATTAATATATCTCTGTGCATACTAATGTGAATTATCTTTATATTGTGCCAGAGGGAATTTCATGTGATGATTTTTGATGGAGTGATACTCAAAGTGTATGTTACAGCTTTACTCTAACGGCTTTCTCAAAATGGATGCCCTGGAACCGTCACATAAAATGCTCGACGAGGCTAGGAAGAAAGGTCGTTATGGTCGCTACTTCACTGACGTTTTAGGGGTAAATGCGCTGAACATCCAAACTGGTAGGTAGTCTCTTTGAATATTGGATGCTGTGAACTATGTGCTCAGGGGCCGACCATTTGATATTCTCTAAGGGGGAATGGGATTTTATCCCCAACCCAACAAACATTGTCCCCGAATCAGCTTGAAAAAAATAAATATGCTTACAATGTATTTTTTGGATAAATATATATTAAGGCTCATAGTTATAATTCTAAAAATAATATCTGGTTTTTGAGATGTAGCAGCAAAGCGACTTCCGTCTTCACAAAGTGAATGATAAGTTAGATAACATATGTTTGGTCCACTTTTTAAAATAATTATATTTGCTTCTTGCTCACATGCCTTTGTTTTAGTTCTTGCTTATTATGAGTGTATGTGTCAAATCTGGATTTATCAAATTTAATTTACACCGATATATGAAAATGTTCATTATAAGAAACTTTTATAAGATACATTATCCGGTATACAAGCTCAGCATACCGTTACTTATTTTACACGCGTCAACAGTGTTCTACCCATGACAGAAGACCATGACAAAACTACATCGCATTCACAGAAGAGATGTGTAATACTGTATTTGTTAGCAAAGATGCAAAGCACAACTGATCAAGATCTGAATTTTAATCGTGTTTTGAAATACATTTGTTGTCAGTGGAGTTGGTTTGTTGTTTAACGCCGCACACAGCAATATTCCAGCTATATGACGGCGGTCTGTAAATAATCGAGTCTGGACCAGATAATCCAGTGATCGATATCATACGCAATTGGGATCGATGACATGTATCAACCAAATCAGCAGCCTGACCACCCGATCCCGTTAGTCGCCTTTTACGACAAGCATAGTCACCCTTTACGGCAAGCATGGGTTGCTGAAGACCTATTCTACCCCGGCTCTTGACGGGTCTGTCAGTCGAGTAATCTATAGTGAAACCTATGTACTTGAGATGTGACGTGGCTAAGTCTTACCTAATCTTAGGACGCTGGAGAAATGTATCTCGTAACGGCTTTATGGTCACTTATTTTAAGACATACAAGAACTGCAATGTTATACATGTGAAAATAATTCAGGTTAATATTTTCCCTGAAAAGGAAACCTAAAATAGGAAAAGTCAATTGGATTAAATAATCTTATCTGGTCATCTGCGTTTCAGATATCTATGACGTGGTGACAATGTCGGCTTTGAGCACAGTGGTTTTGAAAAAGATGCCTTTAAATGCATTTGAGGAACTCATTCGCATTGTCAAACCAGGAAAGTATTCAACGACCACCTCCGTGTGTCACATATTAGGTAAAGTCTCCAAAGATCAAAGGTCCAAGACATTAAGGACGCCTTGTCATTCAAGATTTGTTTGTTTGTTGTTTAACGCCGCACTCAGCAATATTCCAGCTATATGACGACGGTCTGTAAATAATCGAGTCTGGACCAGACAATCCAGTGATTGACAACATGAGCATCGATCCTCGCAATTGGCATACGATGACATGCATCAACCAAGTCAGCAAGCCTGACCACCCGATCCCGTTAGTCGCCTCCTACAAGTATAGTCGTCTTTTACGGCAAGCATGGGTTATGAAGACATAGTCTACCCCGGATCTTCACGGCATCAAGTGATGTCATCAGTGAAGAATACGTTTTAAAAAGCTTAACTCTTTATCACATAGCTTATAACGTTTTTATGAGTGAATGGCGTAAGCAAACTCAAAATCCACAAATAATCTAGTCAATATTTTACTTCATTCGACTTTGTTTTATTTGACATCTATGCTATCATTTCAGGTGGTTACATTATCAATTCTACTTTATACAACTTGTTCCCCGATGATGGCGATGTCCGAGCAGTGACTTTTAGAGAAAATATGAAGACCTTGGAATTTCAAGGGAAATGGAAGCAGGTGGAACTTGCGGTTTACCCTGAAGCGATATTTGAAGAAAAAGGGGCCATTTCAGTCCACAAAGTCCTGAAATGAATACACATAACTGTTAAGCCGAATCAGTAAGAAACGGACACAATAAACATTGCCAAAATGTCTATCGGGGTATATTTGTGTCAGTTAAGTTGTGTTTGTTTGTTTGTTTTTCGTATGTTTAACGCCGCACTCAGCAATATTCCAGCTATATGACGGCGGTCTGTAAATAATCGAGTCTGGACCAGACAATCCAGTGATTGCCATCATGGGCATCGATCTACGCAATTGGGATACGATGACATGCATCCACCAAGTCAGCGACCCTGACCACCCGATCCCGTTAGTCGCCTCTTATATAGTTACAAGCATAGTGGCCTTTTACGGCAAGCATGGGTTGCTGAAGACCTATTCTACCCCGGATTTTTGTAGCAAATATAACACATTCACAACCACTGTGTACTACCAAACTATTTTTCCAACAGAACCTTTTCAGTCAGTGAGTGAACGTCTTTTTACGCCGCTTTTAGCTATATTCCCGCACCATCACGACCGGAGACACCAGAAATTGGCTTCACAGAACTGTTTGAAACTGCCATGCAATTAAACTTGCTTGCTGAACGAGACCAGTGTTGTTGTTTGTGATATCAACACATTTATACTGTTCCATTCATATTAAATTGTGCTATCTGTAATCGAATGCATTGAACAATTTCATTTCAAAGTATCAATCAACATGTGTCCACTGCCTTTGTCGATACTTTTACGTGTAGGTAACAATTAGCACACTGAACATCGCAAGATAGTATCAGGATTTCACTTTTCATTTAGTTTCTCATTTGTCCTTTGTGTTAAGAAAACAACTCCAAATATGTAATTACTAGAAGAATAACAAAAAATTGGTAAAATGAACTCGAAGCGCGCATAATGTTCATTGTTCTGTTGCCAGGTGTGTCAGAGTACATTTACTTCAGCTTTGTATGTGTAATGCTAAACATATGTTAAAATAGAACATTTATGAATATAAGTACGCGTCATTGGACACAAATGGTTTTATATATGTTGCTTATCCTTCTTTACAGAATCATTGGAGTTTCGTAAATGTCAAGCCACGTATATCAGTTTAAGGTAACATTGTAACTACATATACAGTTCAGGTGAAGAGAGTGTGAAGGTGTTTGGACCAGTTAACCACAAACATTGCACAAATGTAAATTGGAAATGGCGTGCAAATAGTCAGATTCAATACGAGACAGTGACCATGTAAAACCATGAATCATTGTGAGGGACCCATGACCAAGGACATGGTCTCCCAAGGCTTATCTTCGGGGTGACCTTGAGATTCGAACACGCTGTGGAAGATTCTACTTAGTCATAAATGCATGTATGCTAGAGAGTAGCATTTCCCTCCTTACAACGCGATAGTGAATGTGTGATAGAGTATTTGTTTCACGCCTCACTCTAAAACAGAAACACGTCATACAATGAAGATAATATAGATATTACAGCTAGACAGTATCGCCGTGTAATAGGATCACACGTGCCATTTTTCAGGGCCGGCTCTCCATAATTGCACACAATCCATCAGTGGTACCGGTGTGATTCACAACATAAAAATTGAAATTCTGTGAAAAGTAAATATGATGGTCAACATAGGCAAAATCAAACTGTATGTATGGTATGATTGAAAATGCATATTAAATAACCCGAAATTTACATTTGATTTACTAGTTACGATGTATACAATAGCAAATACAATAAGGCAAACGGATGTCTTTCGTAAGCAACAATAAATATTTAGGAGAAATTGCGAGCCATGGAAATGCTTGAATCCGGTAGGCCCTCCTCGTCTTCGTCAATTTTACTTCCACAGAAACATCATAAGGCTCTTATCGCGACTAAAACAACAGTGCAATCACGTCAGACATAATGTTCATACCATCCTCTGACAAACGATAGGCGTACCTGCGAGTGCGAGGCCTGGGACAGTTCCACTGTAACACTTTCTGTGGACAGATCTCGGCTGTAAATGGTCCTCTTTACTGGTGAGTCACGTTTTTTTCTTCGCCAACTCAATGGCAGGACACATTTTACAGGCATCATAGTGAACTTTACGTCACGACATGTGTTCATTTTGGGTAAGGTCTACAGGGAGGACTCAAATTTGTGTGATTCAATGTGATTTGAATGATGAGAGATAACTGGATGTGATTTTGCATCAGAAATGAAACGTTTGTGACGTCGTCCAAATCTGGAAGTCCGTGTCGGGCTTATCATATAATACTCAGTCTCATAAACATCAGATCTACACTTCGACACGGTACCTGATTTAGTGTACGGGGTATTACGAGCTGAACGTTCTTGTACACTGCTGGGCATACGGCCTCGTGGTGTACAAGTCCATAACAAGTCTGTACACCCCACCGTAGACACGTGTAACTCACATTACTTAGAATTGTCTTTAACAAGGAATTGTTAACTGAGCAAGCATGTTAACATATAGCAAGCCATGCAAATGATTTAGCTTTATAAATTAAAACAGGTAAGTAATTAAACAATGTGTGATTGATATGGTTTTGATGAGAAGGTACTCAATTAATTCTCTCATATTCATAATTACGTACAAGCTATTAACACATACTACCATGCTTAATATTGTTACAACACCATTTACTTGCTTTACATCCGTCATGTTTAGTGCATGAAGGCATATTGCAACAGGAGCACATTGCATATGATTATTACAGTAGTATATCCGTACATTAAACTGAACACATCCCATTTTTATAAACAGATAATCGGGGAGGGGTGAATAATAAACTCAAGCACCCTACGCATGTATATTGATAAATCATATACATCGTATATTACAAAACGATCCACATAAATAATGCGACAGCTGTATGTAATTTGAAACAATGTGAGTCGTCACCAGTTGTGCAAGTTGATTTGCTCACTTTTTTCAAGTGCCGAATTGTTAATCTGTTCACCATTTAAAACTGTTTACGGAATTGTCTACCACAAGGTTTCGTAACTATTTAAGATTCCACTGCACGATCTGTTCAATGTCGTTCAGCTCTAGAACTCAAACCAAGGGAAAAATGATTACATCGAACAAGTGTCTTCCTAGTTCAGCTCAATGAAGCCTGCATTTCTTGCATCATTTGTCGACTCAAAGCAAGCCTAGGAGAAGGTATGTTCGCTTAATAATTCAGTGACAAATTGCCCAGATTAGCCAGGGCACTTATCTTCATACACCTGTGACATGCAGTCATGAATTTCTCGAGCACTTTTCTCTAAAGTAAAAAACTTGATTACTGCTGGGTACTCGTTCTTTTGCATTTCTGTGTCCTTTTGAACCCATATCACGATTAACTGGTTGTCACCACATACGCTCATGTCAACTCTAGTTTAGAGGAACTATTTCCGCGATGCAGCTGATTGTTGTGTGGTTGTATCCTACGAGGTCCAAATTTTAAATAGGGATGTAAAAAGTATAAGAATTGACATTCATTGGAGTGTGAACTTTCATATGTGAAGATCCTAACATGAAGGGTCAAAACATGAAGGGCCAAAACATGAAGTTCATGTTCCAATGAACTTACAGAAAGTGAAAGTCATAGATGCGTGACTTGGATACATGCATATTTAACTCAACTACCCTCCAAATTAATGGACTAAACGTTCTATACTATCAACCTCGATTCCGTTTTTACTCATATTAGTTCAACGAAGCCTCCCTTTTTCAGAGCAGAGTTTCTCCATTATCACTGGATGAAGGAATGTTCGACTTAACCCATCCTGAACTGTTTCAACATTTCAGTTATCATATTCATATTTCGAAAGAAGAACGTTACTGTCACAACTCATCAACATTGCAGAAAACACATTATGTTGAATGACATTAATCAATACATCACCACCTAAAATTGCAAGCCTAAAGCTGTGTGCTTTAATATAAAGTACGGATTATTCTTATCTTTATCTTAAGTGGTTATTTAATAACGTCACAATTTATTTTTGTACAAACAGATTTCTGGGTAAACCTTTGTGTTTCAATTTGGAAATAACGCATTAATGATGATAATAATTGGTTGTGCAAAGGGCGAACAATGTTTCTCCCAAAGGAAGGTGATCTGGCTCACCCTAAAGATTTCCGCCCAATTAATTGTTTGAACACACAGTACAAAATATTTACAGGGTGTCTTACAGATCTCGTGTCATTGTACTGCGCTTTGAATGACTTTACCAACATGGAGCAGAAGGGTGCCAGAAAGGGATGTTGGGGTTGTAAGGATCAATTGCTGGTTCAGATAATGATCCTTGAAGAGGCTAAAACTTACCTCCGTAACCTCTCAATGTGAAACATGACTACAGAAAATGTTATGATTCTGTATCTCACGAATTGACGTCCCCGAGCGACTACGTGTTTTACTCAAGTCTTTAATGAATTGCTGGTCAACTCAACGTGAGACGTATTCGCAGGGGCATGTGGTAACTTCGGAACTATTTTTTTCTATTAGAAGAGGAATGTTTCAGGGCGATTCTTTCAGTCCTTTGCTTTTCTGTTTGTCACTAAATCCTTTAAGCATTTTGCTTAGCAAAGAGGAAGGTTATCATCCTGGACCTCCTCAGCACAGATCCCCAAACACACCTTACTCACCTCCTTCACATGGATGACCTTGAACGTCTTGCCAATGGAGGATCCACATTGAAAAAAACCCAGATTCTCCTTGTCGAGTCCTTTTCTTATGATATCAGCATGTCCTTTAATTTGGACTCGACAAATTCAATATTCTTCATCTGAAACGTGGCAAGGTAGAAGAGGGAGGATCAGTCAGTTTACTTGGGGGAGGAGTTATTGACCATCTCGTGGGCGACAAGAAATCGAAATCCTGTGAGACCATGACACATCACCTGAAGGACATGATTAGCCATGCACTTGGATTGACTCTTCTTAATTTGGTCCGCTTCAGCACCAAGGTCTGTGAATCCAACAAGTGTAGACTTTCCCTTTCGGTGGGTAATCTGGATGTCCTCCCGAATGGCCATTTCATCCAAAA